AAGACAGTGGGGTTGATTTACTAACCTTTTAAACACACCACGAACGTGTATACACCTCTGTAGTGTGTTCCCTCCCAGCATGATCTATGGGAGGAATCGAAACACCTTTGTAGTGTGTACACACCCAGCAGGTGTGTTGTGCAAAGCCCTGCAATGAATTGCAAGGTAATGTGGTGTAAATTAGCTCTATGTTATGTTGCTTGCGTTGATGAATGCAGGAATGTAAATGCATGAGCTAACCATTTTTGTCTAAACTGTAAAGCAGCATTATATATGCATCATGTGCATGATTTTTCCATATATGGCATTAGTGGAAATATGCTTTTAGAGACTTTTTGGTTGATAAATACGTTTTGCGGTGTGAAAATCACACACACCTGGTGCGTGCGTGTGTTTAGGTTAGTAAATCACCCCCAGTGTCTCATACAAGATACCAATTAAATTAGGACCCCCACCTGGAGCTCCTCCCACCGGACCGGCGCTGACTTGTAGCAGAGTACACACTGCTAATACACTGGAGACCATAGATTTACAATTCTCCTCTGCTAACATGAATGGATTAAATGATCCATATATAGCCCTGTACTATGGATCATTTAGCCCATTCATGTTAGGAGAGGATAATTGTAAATCTATTGTTGCAGTGCACTCTATATGTACATGTACTATGTACATATAGTACATAACATGTAGTTGTACTACGGATCATTTAACCCATTCATGTTAGCAGTGCAGAATTGTAAATCTATTGCTGCAGTGCATTCTATATGTAGTACATAGTACATGTACAGATTCCCAATTCACTGCAGCAATAGATTTACAATGATCCCCTGCTAACATGAATTGGTTAAATGATCCTTAGTACAACTACATGTTATGTACTATTATGTACTTTGGATCATGATTTAACCTATTCATGTTAGCAGTGGATAATTGTAACTCTATTACTGCAGTGTACAGGACTGTGTGCTGTATATGTACTATGGATCATGATTTAACATATTCATGTTAGCAGGGCAGAATTGCGAGCGACCCCCCACAAGCTGAGCACCGAGACGCGATGCAGCGATCCTGCCCAGCGCCGACTACAAGAGGCACCTCGTGAGGCAACAGAGATTGGAGTGAAACTGTGAGCGAGGGAAGCTGGGACAGGGCTGGCTGTAAATCTATTGCTATAGTGTACTGGACGTGTGTTATGTGTATGTAGTACATATATACAGCACACACCTCCACTACACTACAGCAATAGATTTACAATTATCCCCTGCTAACATGAATAGGTTGAATCATGATCCATAGTACATAACATGTAGTTGTACTATGGATCATTTAAAGTCACCTGTCCCTTTAAGAAAAAGTATTGGTAATTGGTATCGGCAAGTACATGAGGGGAAGTACTTGGTCTTGAAAAAGTGGTATCGGGACATCCCTAATGGTTAGCCATATAAATATAAGTATGCATTCACGTGGTCAAAATAGAGTTAAACAGAACAAAAGACCCTTACCTGTAGCGGGGATCATTTATAATCATTTTCATTGCTTGTTCCCATGATGAATTAGAAGGAACCCCCTGCAGACAATTTATATGATAAAGCAGTAAGTTCACATACATGGACATGAAGAATGCTTTAAGGGCAAAGTGTTGCTCCTAAATTATGAACAACTAAAAATATGACCTTTATACATACTGTATATTGTATATATGGATATATCTATATCTATCTATCTAATTAAGAAATGATGGGATAAAAGGCAATCATTTAAATATACAGGAGTACTCAGGGTATTAAGAAGTGGTGATGAAATCATATAAAAGATGTCTGATAAAGGAACCAATGTCGTTACGATAGACCTTATGAAGTATGAACATATGTGTCAAAAAATGTTGAAAAATTCCAAATGACAGAGGGAATTACAAAAATATTGTTTAGAACAGGATATGTTAGAGTTGTATTTCATTTAATTGATAAGGTCTTTGAGAATGTTGTGATTAAGAACCACCTAAGACAAATACCTAAGCTCAAAGAACCACGGATCCCCACTTTTTATGGTCTCCCAAAATTATGCAAGCATTTTATTTACCTCCCAGGCTGTGACAGACTAACAAAAAGTTGCTATGTAGATTAGAAATTAAAGCCACTGTTAACAAGTCTTCCAAGCTATTCTTAAGACACTGGTAATTTAATCATAAAAGTGGAAGCTATCTAGTTACCATAGGGGACAGATTTATTAGCTTTGGATATCAAGGTACTTTATTCCAGCATTCTCCATATAATAGGCTGAAATTGTGAAGAGGTATTTAAATCAATGTGGACAGAAAAAAAAGGTTCCATAACTTTATTTTGGAATTATTGGATTTTATATTGACCCACAGCAATTTTGAGACCCACCACACCAAGATACAGGAATCAGCGAAGGGCACTACCCTTCACCATCACATGTGTAGCTGGGGTGGTGGGAATGTCAGATTTGTTCATAGATTCAAGGACTCTGTGGATTTCATAGCAGCATAGCTTCACTACCTTGATGTTGTCATGTTGATATGGAATGGAACAGAGCCCCAATTAAAATTATTAATTGGAAACTGAAATTATACGGTAATAACATGAGCCCAGTAGTGACATTTTCCAATAGTGGCAGACATTTAATGCTTTAATGCTTTTGGTTCTAAATTGACGATTAATGATGACCGATTTATAACAATTCAAACGTTCAGCAAAGGAAGCAACTAGTAATAATTTATTAAGAGCAGAAACCCACCATGCTAGATATTTCCTTAATGAGTTACTATAATGGGTTAATATTTGAGTATCAAAAGAAACTGTTCAGTGGATACAGAAATAGATTTAAGAGAAAGATTGAGGAAAAGGGGCTTCACAAAGAAGCATATTTAAGTGCTAAGTACAGAAAAAGTGAGGATTTATTACAAAGAAAGGAACCAGCATAATTTACAAATGATTTCCACCCCCTGTAACCAAGAAAATGTAAACACTGGGCCATTTTGCGCACAAACAAAAAGTATTTGCTATTTATTAGCATCAATACAGTTGTATCTGTTACATTAAGTAAGAATTGTGGAAGTAATGTTGTGATCGCTAATAATGATGTTAGTGTATTTTTATTGCAAATACAGCTTGATAAATATTTGTGCAACTATCATAGGATGTAAAAAAAATAAGTACAAAAATAAGTCAAATAAGTGTGTGTGGGGGGAGGGGGGGGGTCTTTTACTACCTAGCAAAAGAGCGAAAAATAGCAAAAATGGTACAGCTATCTAAGGTGAAAAATGAGAGGCTGGGCCCGGCAGCAAAAGGGTTCATTAAAGGTATAGTCCCCATTAAAGAGTGATTTCTCTGATATTTTTCACTGTAGTGCACCTCTGTCCTATTTAACATCCTTTTGGAAAAAAAAGTTTAGGTTACATTTATGGTGGATATAGGAAACATATGTAAAAAGTATAAAGTAATACAAGAAATGTTGAAGAAAAGTGATTCATTAGAGAGTTAATGAAGGAAACATACAGACTGTAGGCTAGTTTTAGTGAAGAGTAATACAACACACTTGATTAGCAAGACATTTTATAAAAGATCAAAGTGATTTGTAATCCCTAGATACCTTGAAAAAGCCAGCAAAATGTCTGGTGTAATTATGCTTTGATCAATATTAGCACCTTGGATTTGTATTGGATCATTACTTTTTTTTTTGGCTTTTGCACATCTAGATGTACCATCAATTATACATGAAACTAACTTGCAGCAAACTTGTACCCAGAGTAGCACATTTGGAGGAGGGACCAGTCCCATGGACTGGCTCTGCTCAGTCACCCAGTGTCAGGGCCCGTCCTTGGACATAGTATGGTGTATCACAGCTGCGGTTCCAACAGTTGTTTAGTGCGGTTGTCAGGCTAAAATCCCAGGCGGCTCTCTCAATCATAAACGGAGAGTTTGGGATTTAGTCATCATGGACCGCTAAACAATAATCAGTAGTAAAAGGCAAAGTAGGTTAAAGAATATTAATTCATATTCCCCATCTTGGCTATCCTATCTGGAATTGTGGTACAATCGGATAAGACAGTCTCTATGTCAGATAACAGAAGCAATCCCCTTTAGACAGCATATGTGGAATTGTATTGCATTGAGGAGAGTTGATACCGTGAGTCTCCACTAGGGGGCAGCGTATATGAACCAACACAAGTGTAGAGTAGATTTTATCAGATACTTGCGGTTTGGTTGTATGAGCGATCAGCTGCATTCAAGAGGAGTCCAGTGGAGGCTGGCTGCTGGGGATATGTTAGGATCCATTTGGAAAGGTTCGAGGCAGGTTGGTGAGGTTCCTGGAGTGTTTGGGCTATGATCCCAATCATCGAACACCCCACAGCATCTCTGGCAGGTTTAAATAGCCCGCGGCCGTGACGTCACGCGGCCGCGGGTTACTTCCGCGTTCCAGCTTGGAACGCACAGTAGCTTCCATCAAGGGGGAGGAGGCCTGCAGCGGTCTCCCCGGCCGATGCGCCCCAGCCTGGAACGCAGTCGGGAGGAGCCGCGAACCCGAGGTACATTACACCCAGTAAGTATACCGAGGATTTATCTTCTGGTGATTGTGTGTGGCAAAAGCACTCCTATGTCTTGCTCTTTTGGGAATTGTACAGTGTTGAATACTGCTATGAGTTGTACAGTATAATGATATCTATGCTGTACTGAAGTATATGAGGAAAATTATGCAATCAAGGTAGCTATATTTAAATGCATGCACTTCAAATGTTATTGCAACTAGTACAATTTAAAAGATGTTTATTTTATTGGGTTGTTCAAAGCTAAAGTAGAATGATCTGTTGATATGTTTTTATTATGTTTTTATATTATGTAAAAAAGTATGTAATTTTTCTTCTGAAACCTGGCTGAAAGCAGGTTTCCTGACTTATGTAGAGGACAGCAAGGGTGGAGGACCTATTATATATCCACTGTGAGTTGGCAATGGCTAAACTGGTTGCGATAAATGTTTTGTTTCTATTCAGTCACATATCATCTTTGCCAGCCTTGGTGTGCCTTCTCGATTTCTCAGGGGTCCCTCAAAATATTGTGGTAGTGGGACTGAGGTCTGAGTTGAAGGGGGCTCCTGATGTAAAGGGGGATCTCTGATGTAAAATGGGGGACTTTGATATTAAAGAAAAGCTTCTGATGTGAAAAGGGGGTTTCTCATGTAAACGGGGGCTACTGATGCAAAGTGTGACTCTGATGTGAAGGGGGGGGATCTTGATTTGAAGAGGGAATTTCATTGTAAAGGGGAAACCTACTTTTTTTTTTTCTGTGTGTAGTCCCCCTTAAAATCGAAGACATTTTAGACTGAGGTGCCTCGAGATTTTGCATACTTTTAAAGAGTGCCTTGCCTGAAAAAAGGTTGAGAAACACTGATCTATACCAGGTATCTATGCACTTCACTGTACAGAATTAGTCATAAAACATCAGCAGATTCTGCAAATGGTCTAACTATCACCAATTGCACCTTATCTTTAAGTAGTTCCTTAAACAGTTGCTTTGCTTCTTCCTTTGTGTTCCAGTGATACATTGTTTTCTCAGGTTCTACCTGGTTTCCATCCTCCAATTGTAAAGAATCGCTGAAATATATAAAAAATGCATTAAGGCATTTTCCCCTTTCACAGAAGTAAAAGTTAAAAAAGGATCGTAGTCTAGTAGCCATGAGAAATGGTGGAGTCCCATCAAATCCCTTACTCATCTACTTACTCTACCATAAAACAGTCCATGATGGGGCTTCATAATAATTACTTTATTTTACAGGATGAGACTGCCCTATGTTCAACTCTCTTCAACCTAGAAGACCAAGGCATCTGTTATGGTAAGCTCAGAATATCTGTCAGGGTTTACCTTTCTCCTCTGGGAATCCCAGCCAGGACTTCCAGGAGATCCTCTACTAATGGATCTAACAGGGTCCAGGCCAGTACGGCTGATAATAGTAACAGATTTCAGACCAGGACTTCCAGTCTACCCTGAGGCTGGGCGTGTCATTTCTGATTCAGAGGGGTATTTAAGCACTAGCTCTGCAAGGAGCTGGTGCTGTGTCTTTTGCCAGCTTCCTGTTTGTGAAAGAGCTTATACGTCTGCTGTTTTCTCGTTGCTGACCGGGACTGTCTGGCCCTTCTTCGCTTGCTGCCCGCCATGATCTTCTGCCTGGACCCGACTTTGCTCTTGTCTCTTGCGTTTATCCTCTGATTGCTAGTTGCCGACCTTGGACTGTCCAACCATCCTCTGCTAGCTGCCTGCCTTGAACTCTGCCTGGATCTGACTACTGTCTCCTCATTTGAGCCCTCCTGTTCTCGTCCATCCCTTGGCAGGGCAACCCTGGGGACCGCGACTGGTACTTAGACTCCGGCCCTCAGGTAAGCCCGTGTCACCTGCCAGGGGGTGTCACCCTAACAGTATCTGTTTTTTGTGGTGAACATATCCAAAGGCCTTTCTGGCATGGGTGGTCCCTCTAACAGCTATGCTACCACTACTATAGCTCTCAGTGTCATTTGATAATGCAAATCCCACCAAAAGAGTACATGATACTTCTTGTTTAGGTTTTTTAATATCCCAATAAAAACCTAGAGGCTTAGACTGAAGGAGGATTTAACTGCCTCTCAATACAATGCCCTAGACAAATCTTCTGCTACCTGGTACCCTTGGCTCAGATTTACTAATTCTGTAAATTACATTCATACTTGCTCTGCTAGAGACCAGGATCCCTCTGCTCTGCTATGTACTTCCTCTTGTCTTACTGTATCTCCTTCTATTCCTTTCAGCTTTTTGCCTATCAGTTTCATTTGCAATGGAAGCCGAGTCTGTTTTTTTTCTGACTCTCTATAGATTCTTTAATTTTATTAAGTTTACCTTAAAAAAAATTAAAGGCAGGGATCGGGATTTGCTTATTCTTCTAATAGTTAAATAGGCACTACAGCATATATGGTTTGCTCTTTTTGAGCCATATTGATGGACTATTGATATGTCACTATAAACATTTAGCTGTTTGTTCAGTTTTCTCTTCTGCAGCCATTAAGTTTTCTCCTGCTCTTTCTTACTAAATAAAGAATTTTAAAAAAGCCTAGAGGCATTTTTGGACTGAAGGTCTAGGTCATTGTCTAGCCGGAGAATACAAAACTATGGGGTCTATTCACTAAGCTACCGAAGGATCTAGCCGTAGCCTTGGCTGATCCTTCGGCTAGCTTCGGCCCCAGGACCCCTTCGGATCAGAAGAACCAAAGGGCTGCTGTATGGGCTATTCGGGCAAAGATAACGGCATTCGGCTCGGCTATTCTGCTCGGTAACTAGCTATTGCACCCGCCCTCTGCTGCTGTCAATCACTGATGGAGAACTTCAAGTCCCCTCTGCTGATTGACAGCAGCAGTGGGCGGGTGCAATAGCTAGTTTGCTATTGGCTATTGCAAATTGAAATAGCCAATAGGAATCTAGCTATGCATTCCTATGGTGTTTTTTAAAAAATTCTGATGGCAGCCAATGGCTCCGATGTCAGAAGAAAAAACAAGAAAAAAACAGCTCGATTGAGCAGAGTAAACCTTCTGGGAGAAAGGTAGCAGAAAATTTGTCTAGGGCATTGTATTGGAAGGCAGTTAAATCCTCCTTCAGTCTAAGCCTCTAGATTTTTATTGGGATATTTAAAAACCTAAAAAATGTACTCCTTTTGGTGGGATTTGCATTAGCAAAGCTTTGTGACGCATTGCCATGCGTTTTGATACCTTGTGTTGCAATTAAATATACGCCTTTATCATTTTATCACAACACAAACACCAACACAGCGCAAAAACGTTTTTTAACATAAGTCGTTTATTTACAGTTTTACCTTAATTTTTTTACCTTTTTGCAAAAAGGCGCAATTACAAATTTGCAAATATTTGTTATTTATTAACTTCATACAGTTTTATCTTTTAGATTTAGTCAGAAAATATATATTTTTTGTGCGGGATACTGATTTGAGTGTTTTATCAATTGAATTCTGTATTTTTATCGGTTTAATATTCATTTGAGAAACATTTGCGCAATTATCGTGGGGCCCACAAATTTAGTAGCACCATCTTTTATTCTACCAAGCCTGCGCTTTCAGAAAATATATGGTTTGGGGGGTCTTTTACAAACGCTAGCAACGCAGCAGTGGAAAATCAATGGGAAAAATTGCAAAAATTGTGTGGCCAGCTGAGGTGCAAAATGTTCCGGAGGGCTTGGCAGCCAAAGGGTTAAAAGATATTAAAGTGACCCTGTTACCACCCCACACATACGATATTTAACATTGCCAGAAATAGTAGACACCGAAAGCTTACATATGACCTCTTATTCCAGTCAGAATGTTCACCTGTTTTTTTGAGTTTTCATCTCTGCTATTTTGGGAATTCCTCCAACACTTCATGGAGGTGTAAGAGACTTTCTCAGCAGTGGTTCCCTGCACCCCTTGGCTTGACATCACAAGACCAGCAGCCATGGGAAGCCTTGCGTGATTCTCTAGTGAAAGCCTAGAGGCTGCTTGCACAGAGAGTGCTTGCACAACCATTCAGTAAACAGACCAGTTATGTGAACACTTATGATCATATGACTAGTCTGTTTACTGAATGGTTAGATTATAGTAGTGAAATCACTGCTATGATTGTGCATGCGTGGGACTACTGCAGAGCGGCACAGGACTGACAGCTGTACAGATGCTGGGTCTGCTGTGGGCACAATCAAAATGGCAGCCGCCAGCAGCATATTTCTCACTAACCATCAGTCTGTGAATAACAGACCAAACAGAGCCAAGTACATTGCAAAAGCCAAAGTATGCTTAAAACAATAACAATGTAGCTTGTTGCTGCAGTTAACTGTATGGGGACAATTTCTCTTTAATTCATGCATCCATCAAGACATTGCGGTTAATTGATGAAAAGTAATTGAGAATGTTCACCTAAATAATTTTCACTTAGTTTAGTAAGTTGAAGCTCTGCTCGCTTCTCTAATCACGTGCAAGGTGGAAAAAAACAAGGCTTTTACTTGCACATGACTGGATGAAGTGAACACAGCTTTGCCTTATTCTCTAAGCTAAGTGAACATTAATTTGCTCTATACGCCAGCAATGTATTTTCAGGAGGCACACAAGTAAACCTCTTGTTAATTCAACATCCATTAGGGCATATACATTTTAGATTATTTTTTTGTAAGGCAATTTTTAAATGCACGTGTTTATTGGTATTAGTATAGGAATGACATTACCTATTAGTGATCTCTGTCTGGTAAACTGTTGTGTCTTCCTGAATAGCTTCTATGTCAGGGTTGTCGGTGGGTTCAGGCACACTGGGCTGCGTGACTCTTAACTCCTCTGTAGGTGTAATTTCAGCATCAGATGAATGTGCTGTAGAATGAGGACTGGATGCAGCAGACTGACTCTCATGGTCAATTCTAACATAGGAAAGAGGCCATGGTTATTTCTGTACATCAGACAGTAAGTTTGTTGCAATAGTACAAATCAAAAAATCCTACAAAACAAGCATATAATCTGTTAGACACTTTCTGAATGTAACAGTTAAGCAGATGACAAATTTACATTATTTTAAATGACTAATAGGGCTATGATGTCTTTTCTACTATTCATGAACATCATAAGCTGTGGCTATTCAGATAATATCAGTAAATGCCCAGGGTACAGGCATTTTAATTAACAATAACACTAACATAAGAGGGTAGAATTTTATTGGATTACACTGAAACACTAACAGAGTTATTCACAAAAGGGTGAGGAGTTTGGAGAAGGCAGGAGAAGTGAACAATCTAGGACAACATAGCTGAATTGGAAAGTGAGCTGAATTGGAGAATTTTTTTAAATCAGATATTTTGGCCTAGATTGTTCACTTCTCCTGCCTTCTCCAAAACCTTTAACCCTTTAGTGAATAACCCTGTAAAAATATACATCTACCCTGCCTTTTAACTTAAGCTGCTGTAAATATTATTACTAAAAACAAATAAAAAAATGGAAGAGCGCACTACAATTGGGTGAAAACTTCTAGAGGAATGGACACAGGCTATAACAAACAGTGTGCAAGCTCTATGTAAATCAGGGAGAGGAACCCTGTGCTAACCAACATGAAACAAAATAAATCAAGAGCGCTACTACTGTAAGTGTAGTAAAGACTCACGTTTGGGATGTTACCATGTCTCAGGGGGAAATCCACTGATCTCCCTATTCAAACGTGGCCTGGCTGAGCCAGATGATGTGGAGAAGGGTAGGTGCCTGGATAGACCTTAGCTGATGGTGAGAGCAAGTGCTGTCATCTGCACGGACTCAGCTGGCCAGGCTGAGGCGTTGTGGCTGTTTTTTTTCTGCCACAACGACTCAGGCTAGCCAGCTGAGTCCGTGCAGATGACAGCACTTGCTCTCACCATCAGCTAAGGTCTATCCAGGCACCTACCCTTCTCCACATCATCTGGCTCAGCCAGGCCACGTTTGAATAGGGACATCAGTGGATTTCCCCCTGAGACATGGTAACATCCCAAATCTAGTATCGATCTTGATTTATTTTGTTTATATCATTACATTGACTATATAGTGGTTCTGTACACATATTTTTATTTTTTATTTTAATTATAACTAAAAAATAAACTCAAAAAAATTATTGTCAATTGAATAGGACATTTTGCATATGGATATTTTAGTATTGTGGAAGTATGAAGTGCAGGAAGTCAAACTATCAATTTTGTGTAGTAAGATCAGTGAAAGAAGATTAATTGTATTTTCTGGTTCTTGCTAAACTGTCTTTAGCGTATAAGCATTATAGGGCTTAGCATATGAACAAATTATGGCAGGCAATAAATGTGAGAATGTCCCAGCAGTGATAAGCAATGAGATGGATGACTAATTTTCCCTGCATTGAAGGAGTGATGGTATCCGATCATTTCCACAACTTGGCTAACAACTGAAGTGGTGCTAGTCTTGTTCCTTAGAAACCATGAGCGAAAGGCAATCAGTGCAACAAATATTTTCAAGGACGCTGGATATTTTTTGCACAATTACGCCTGAATCTGAAGTTTAGAAACGATCAGTATTACTTTGCATATAATTACTAGACAATTGAATATGCACTTGCATGCATAAACAGGCTGTGCGTGCAGGCACCATTTACCCACTGGGAGAGTCAACTGAAATGAATGGAACAGCGCTGACTGAAACATGAAACATTCAAATTGGCACAGCACAAACCCATGTTTGATAAAAGCAGAGGCATGTACCAGACTTTTTTGTTCAGTACAACCTTCCAGACCAGGTGGTTGAATGTGCTTTGCAGATGTTGAAAATATGTGCAATGGGCCAACTTTTGAACAAATATCTGCTTAAAGGAACCTTGTTTAAGAATAATATTACTTTGAAAACTATTGGATTATAACAGATTTCATGAATGTAATTTTTCTAAAACCTAGGTCACCACCATGTATTTAATATTATTCCATTACTCACCCGGCTTCTTCCTCTTGTTTTATCAAAACTGCAAAGCAAACATACATTTTAGTCATAGTGTCCAATGTGGTCATTGTAAATAAGACCATATATTAAGGCTCACAATTTCCACTCACCTGCTGGCATTTGGGGAGTGGAAATAACGTGAGGACTAGTGGAAATTCAGCCAGTGTATATATACACACCGCTGTGCAACATCAGTCTATGGATAGGAACTGCTTGCAGTGCCTTCATTGGATATTGTACTCCCCACCTTACTAGCACTCTGTGCTCTGTGATTGGTGGCTAGCTCTCTGCTTCACAATAATTGAACTGTGTAGAGCTCCTATTGCACCAAGGAAGTTGTAGTTTTGTCGAGGTGTTCATCTGTACCGTTTTGTCCTGCAGCAATTTGTTTAAACTAGTAAAAAAGTCAGCGACTTCAGCCCAGAGGAGTGCCAGGTAAGCTGTTGAGTGGAGGAGAGAGAGAGAGACTCTCAACCAGCACCTAGTTATTAATGGGCACCTCATTAGCTATTAATATCCCAGTAACCACCAGGTTGGATGTGTCCTGGCGACTTATGCAACATGCTGCCGGGTTTAGCGCCCGGTATTAGTGCATCCCAAGTAATATAACCCCAAAAACAGTTGCACGTCACATTGCATCCCCATTCATGTAAAGCACGCATTTTCCTTTTAATGTTTACATTGCTTTATGTTAATATTGTTAAAGTTGTTATAGGTTAATATTTATTTTTGTAACTTTATTCAGAACATTTAACAGGGTCATTTCGTAAGATAATTTAAGTAGGTGTGTTTAGGGGCGGAGGTAAGGCAGGAGCAGGGTAGGGGTTAGGTGGGGCAACTGGTGGCAAGTAACTCTTAAGGCCTGGCTAGTAGCTCAGGACTTGAAATTTTGAGCCCTATCATATATCATTGTAAAAAAAGACCAATATTTATAACTAAATATATTCCAGACAATGTAGTGTATGAATCTAAATCATCTGAAAAGTGTCAGCATTACAGGAAACAAAATACACCTTTTAATTATCCTAATGCAGATTAGAAAATCCCAAGAAGAATCTGATTGGTTCATAAGGACAATACTTCCCATCTGAACCATTTGATACCCATCTTCATTCTGCTGATAAGATTGGAGCAGAACTTTATAATCACAAATCACAAAAGTTTCTCTAGAAGGACTCCTACAAATATACATTCTTCTTAACTAATCACAGTCTGCGTCATGTACAAATGGTCATTTTTTAATAGCAAAAGCAAAATATGCCTTTAAATATTATTTGCTTTATCTGTCTCTGGTATTTGTCTCCACCCATCTCCATTTTTCAGTTTTTCCTCTGTGTAGATAGTGCCACACTTCTTCATTATGTTTCAGTCTGCATCTCAGCCACATGTCTATTGCTAACTGGATCACATTATGATCTTTTGACCTATCCTATGTTCACTGTTGTAAAGATCTGCAGTTTGGATTAAACTTCTCAGCAAACTTCGAGGTGTCATTTGGATTAAGTCACTGTCTGCCAATGCTACTGAGATTGGGAGTTATTGCTATCTTGTCACAACTGTAAGTTATAGAGATCACACTTTCAATGCTTAGACTGGTATGGTAGAACACACTAACTTACATTGAGGTGCACTGCATTAACAGCATTTTTTGTGCATCAGAATGCCCATTCAAATGCATTACTGCACTGCAGATATGTGAACCCAGTCTTATGGCAGTTTTGTAATTTACATGTTATGTAATGGGGGTCTTGCCCACCAACCGGAAAGGAACATATTTTAAATGTATTTCACCAATAGGTTTTCCCTCATTCAAATAACATGCATTGCCAAACTATTCAAAATGTATTTGTTTAGTCAGAAGCATTAGTCAGTTGTTTGCAGATACATGAAGCTGTAATACATATCCACAGGTGTGATACAACCAGAAAGCGTTTCATAATGACATAAGTATATGTGTATGGGGCAGAGCTGTAGCTAGCTCCTTTTGCACCCGAGGCAAGAACAGAATATTGTGCCCCCCAACAGACGTGTGCGGTATGTGACGTCATGCTCCCTGCCTCCAGGATGGCGGAGCAGATCGGCAGAATGCGCTGGAGGCCAAATCCAAAATAGCATACAAATTTGTTTCATTTGGCGAACATTTTTAGTTTCCGTTCATTTCGCCCAAAACAATTTGTGTGTGTGTGGCTGGAAGGGGGGGGGGTGCTTCTGGGAAATATCAGGGGTCCAGACAGACCCCTGACATTTCCCTTTTGAAATAGAAAAAGAGATTGAGGATACAGAGTCATGCCCTGGCTGCGCCCCCTCTCGGCTGCACCTGAGGCAAGTGCCTCACTCGCCCCATGGTAGCTACAGCCCTGGTATGGGGATCCCTTGTAAAATGACTGGTAAATGTATTGTGCTGTTTTAGCCTATTCAAATAAGCAGAAGTAACATCTCAGCCACTAAAGATGACCTACAAGCATCAGCAGCTAATGGTGAAAATTTAACATATATGTGGCTTAAAATTTAATGTGATACTGGCCCGTCCAGGGGCGGAACTACCGCCATAGCGGCCCATGCGGGCGCTATGGGGCCAGCAACAGGGGGGGGCCCGGTCAGGAGCAGAGCTCACAGTGTTCCCGGCCGGGCCCCTACCAGGGGCGGACTGAGCATACGGGCATTGCCCGAGGGCCCGCGGTCAAAGAGGGGGCCCGTCAGCGACCCCTTTTCAGCCCCATTGGAAGAGGATGCGGGTTTGTAAAAACGGCAACAGTGCTGCGGCCGAAAAGGGCTCTGAGATGAGGGCTGACCTACCGCGGAGGGCGGATGGAGGGACGGAGGCACGAGAACCTCATGCTGGGGGGGGCCCCACTGAGATCCGGCCCTGGGCCCCCTACTGGAGTAGTTCTACTGGAACCTGGTGATCGGGAGCCCTGATGCTGGTAAGTGAATTTAATGACATTTTTCTTTGAGCTGTAAATGGGAAGATTTTTAACCTTTTTTAGTCTCTATTTACATCAGGGCTGTAGCTACCATGGGGCGAGTGAGGCACCATTGGCAACAGGGGCACCAGGCGGGTTGAGCAGAGGGCATCATTGGCAACAGGGGCACCAGGCGGCCAACACAGCTGCGGCTTAGAAGGGAAAAGAGGAGCGGCACAGGCTGCAGCTTCTCTTTGGATCCCTGCCGCTCTACCCCACTTGTATGGGCAGAGGACTCAATCTCTTTTTCTATTTTCGCAGGGAAATGTCAGCGGTCTACCTAGACCCCTGATATTTCCCCCGAGGCCCCCTAACAGTAAAATAATAATAAAAAATAGATAAACACAAAAACACACACTCACGCACACATATTACTAGACATGTGCAAAGAATATAAATTAGTTTCGGACAAAACGAACGGAAATTAAAAATGTTTTCATTAGTTTCATCAAACGAAACAAATTTTTGTGCTATTTTGGATTTGGCCACCAGCGCACCCCCATCCTGGAGGCGGGGCGCATGATGTCACATACCGCTCACGTCGTCTGCTGAGGGCACCATTTTTTGTTCTTGCCTCAGGCGCAAAAGGAGCTAGCTACGGCTCTGATTTACATACAGAGTTTGCGTTTCCCGTGCGGTTTTTCATGTGGGAACCCGCACTGGACGCAAATGCTATATGTGAACTGCACGGATTCCGCTCGTTTGCGGCCATTATATAGCCGCGAACGTGCAGAATCTGACGGATTATTTTGGGGGTCGCGTGGGTTAAACTCCATTCACACTGGAGCGGCTGTCCGAATACGAGCAGAGCCGCTCTAAACAGAAAGAACAATGCACTTTTATGTGCTTTGTCCAGACTGTTGCGGGACCGCACGGTATGAAACCGCACGGCCCCCAAAATAGTGCAATCGCGATAATCCAGCGGATTCTGCACGTTCGCGGCTATATAATAGCTGCAAACGAGAGGAATCCGTGCAGTTGTTTCACATATAGCGTTATATACGTGCGCAAACGATATGGGGGTTATTCACCGACTGAAACCGGTTATTCACCGTATGTTCGGCTGAGCCGAAGTGCAGAAGGAGTTTGACTCAGCTGATCCAACATCTGGATCGGCTGAGCCAAAGCTCCGGCAGCTCACTCTCTGCCGTTCTCCCCTATTCTCATAGGGGCCGAACGGCAATAAGTAAATAGCCAAATGCCACAAGCGGCATTCTGGTTGGCTATTCTGCTCAGTACCTCCCATGGTAGCGAGCAGAATAGAAAAAAAGTTAAATAAATGTGAGGAAAAAAATGTAGGAAAATTGTTTAAAAAAATGTAAAAAAATTGGATTTTTAAATTTTTTTTTTAAATATTTTAAAGAAAAAAAACAAAAAGGACGCACATCCTGTTTCCTATTGGCCGGCACCTACCAGAGTCTTCTCGTAGGTCCCGGCCAATAAATAACTGGGTGGAGCCGGCTGTGACGTCAGGCAGGCGTCAAAAAGACCACTGTGCATGTGCGACCCGGGTGACACCCAGCCTCGCGACGCCACTGAGTGCATGCACAATGTTTTGTGATTGCACTACACCTGAATGCAGGACATTGAATTACCATGCATTCTGGTGAAGCCAATGACATGAATAGCACTGCCAATACCTCCTATGGTGCTGTGACAAGACTTCCCAGGTGTCTGCTGGCTATCAAAGCCAGCAGACACCTGGGAAGTCTTGTATGCTACATGCTGGGTCATTCATTGCTGTGCCTGTCATTGTCCAGCAGTACTCTCCCTGTTCTTTGTTCCTAAGGGCTTGCTCACACCAATTACAGTGCGTTCCAGAGCGGTAGATGCTAGAATGCACTGTATCGCACACTAAGCTTCCCCCTGCGTTCCGGTCCAGTGCGATCGCACTTGACCAGAATGCGGTGGGGCATGGCTGCGGTGCCATTATTTTCAATGTACGGCCACGCCCCCTCCCGTCCCAGAATGCCCCAAAATGCAGTGCGTTCTAGCTACCACTCTGGAACGCACTGTAATTGGTGTCGATAAGCCCTAAAACCCTTTTACACCTTCACATATATTTCTGTAATTGTCTTCTTTTTACACTGAGGCTCCTCTAACTGCTGTTATCTATAAAGCTTGCTTACACCCTTGCCCAGAATGCAAGAGATAGCATACACAGTCTCCTTGTGTTCTGGGCGACGGGGGGGAGGGTGTAGGTATTGGCAGTGCTATTCATGTCATTGGCTTCACCAGAATGCATGGTAATACAATGTCCTCCCCTCCTCTCTCCTGACACTGTCGGGCTCTCAGTCCAAGAACGAGTGCCCGACATTTCATAAGGGGTGGCACCAAAATGACCGTCAGCCCAATGGTGGCACCTGGGTGCGGGCCACACCCCCCGCACCCTCCTTGTGACACCACTGCATGCACTATTTTTTGTGGGCAGGGGGTGTCTGGAATTCAATTGACATGAATTATATATATTGTTGTACTGTACACAGATGGGGGCATCAGGAGGACACACCAAACATCAGCAGAGTGTGCTGTGACCCCTGTACATAACTTTATCCATACTGTACTGCAATGTAACATCATGTTGTGAAAATTAGTAGTAAGCAGAATCAATGCAGATCTCTTACCCTCCAATTCCTCTAAATCTTTGGGCTTGGTCCAGCGTGATTCCTTGGTCTGAGAGTTATAATAATAGGGTTTGCCTGTATCCGATTTATATTCCTTCCAGGTACATTGTGACAAGAGAAGCTGAAAAAATATAAAAAGTCTTTATAGTGTACAAGTGGGGTAGAAGAGACACACCTGCCTGTCCTAGATGTGCTTACGTCTCGGAAACATCTATGCATATGCTATGGTGTTGTCCCAAACTTGAAAGATACTGGATACGAGTTGTGACTACCATTTCTACAGTTTTTCAAGTAAATGCTCTGGATCCTAAAATATGTTTGCGGGAACATTGGATACTGCACAATGTCCAATGGAGATTCTTTTGGAAGTGGAAAAAGAGCACTGGACTTGTGTGATTATTCTGTTTTTATCATCCAATAGTGATTAAGTAATGTGAATGTGTGTAATCTGGCAAATGGATAGGCAGCTATCACTGGCCCGAGGGTCTCCACAGTATTCTTGGCTTGAAAGTGAACACAGTAGATGTAGGAATTGAAGCGTAACACCAGTTAAAATAGTCCACATACAACTTTATTCCACTAAGGTCAAGGGACAATTGAGTATAATAGCCAATGCGTTTTGGGGGTCCAAGAAAACCCCCTTCATCAGGGCTTAGTGTGAAAATTCATGTGTGTGGACTACAATCTCTGCAGCTTGAAATTTATATTGAACTGTGATGGGAAAGATTCTGGCTTGTCAGCCGCTAGTTTGGCAGCTTAACCAGCTGCTGACAAGCCAGTTCCCACTACAGCTATTCACTATATGGCCAAACATTTGTGGACATTTGACCATTGCACCTATATGAGTTTGCTGAACACCCCATTTCAAAACCATGGACATACAGTATGTTATCAGTAAGTAATAATACAATTTGTAATAGGGGTAATAAGGCTTCAGTTCGCCATTTGCCTTGCTGCATAGACCGGAAAATCTTACCTCTGTTTTAGACTTCAGCTCATCTGGCTTCTCCCAAGTGGATTGCTTGGTTTCTGTGTTGTAGTAATAGGTTCGTCCATCCGGTGATTTGTGCTCGGTCCACAGGGATTTCTAAGATAAAGAAAAAAGCAAGAATAAAATATCAAATTCAATGTTTTTAGATGTTATTTCTCATGTACAGTAGCAAAAACTGACAGTTTTAAATGCAGAGGTAGAGACAGGAAGGAAAAAATATGTTTCTGAAAATCAAATACATGCTATGCACAAAAACAAACATTGACCTTTTTTGGAATGTCCTGAGAGGGTGACTTGTCATCCACAGGCATCTTTGGCATCTGCACAATGTAGAGGACAATTGCATTAGGCCAATATTTCACATTAATATTTATAAGAAAATTGAAGTATTTTAGTATTGAAAGACTTAAAGAGCAATTGAGCTCAATAAGCAAAATCAATTTGCTAATACAATCCATACACTGCAACGTCGCTAAAGTCAGAACGTTTACTCAATTAACTTAATTTTATTTTTATTTTGGATACAGCTGGAAAGGGGGTTAGAGCCAGTAAAATGAGGAAAAATCCTGGGGCAGGGACAAAGACGGAAATAAAAAGCTTGCAGAGGTTTCAGGCCTCCCTACTCCATTAAAAAAACAGGTATTCATTGCAGTCTGTGTTCTTTTGTAGATTTCCATTAACTTTCTGCCCAAGTGATATGCTGCTACCAGGACAGGATATAAGGGGACATCTCCCCTTACATCCTGTCCTGATAGAGGTTTTCCTTGCTCTACCCAACATTTAAAAAAACGTTTTGACTATAGAGATTCTTTAGCTCCTTGAATTGAAAGTCCTTTAGTGCCGCCAGATACCACAGATATCCAGACATGTGAAGTGGGAGGATTTTCATACTGAATCTGTGCTGTTAAAACATATTCTCTTTCCTGAATGTATCACCAATCATATTCAAGCTTCCAAAGATGGCTAAATACTGTCTAGGCACTGTGATGAAACGCATCTCTGCTATAGTGTAAAGCTAGGAGGATTCCTTCAGCTTTACTAACTCCAAGATAACCTCTCTGTTAATTGAATAGAAGTGATAATGCTTATTCCTTGTCCAGTAAGCAGGCTGAAAAAACAGAGGTGATATAGAATGTTACAAAATTGAACCAGGAAGTATGTTTGTAATCTCTCTGACTATGCTGTGTGGCAGAGGTGTGTAAAGTCCTTAGGCAGGGAAAACAATAAATAGTTATTTAATATATGTATTAAATACCACATGCATTATGCCTTTCTGAATAGAATCTCTGAAGGATAAACAGGAAGATTGCAGATACCGTCTAGGGATGACAAAGATCATGATGGTGATGTACTATCTGCTAAAGTTCAGAAAACGCCAGAATAGATTAATTATTAAGCTACTCACCGATGGAGCTGGCATCACTGGTGCTGAAAACACACACAAAAAATAATGGTTTAGAATTATAGCAAAGCAAAACAGTACGCTTGATTAGGTCTACATTTAAAAAAAAAAGCTGACTACTATACTCTGCAGCAGGGATATGCAACATAAGCACACAATGACACCTGAAAGATCGTTACATGGCATGCGCACTGGCTACTGCCAAGCCCCTGCTCCCTACAAGCTGCCAATTACAAAGCATTGCCTGTCCCTCTGTGCCCATGGCCCACCTACCCACCTCCATTACATTTTAGAGAGGTCCGCCTGACGTCACTGTCGTAAAGGTACCGGTGCCTTCATCCCGATACCAGCTTTGGCTGCAGAAGTTGGCCAATCCCCCTGCCTCCCCTCCTGCTCATGGAACCACCAGCTGCAGTAGACATGAATGAACACCCCTCACTTTTTGACGGTGTAGAAGTTGGGGCTAATCCGAGGTGCAAAATGCAAGAGTTGAGTCTGATCTGAGATCTGGAGTGCTGGAATTGGGGATGATTTAAGTCTATGGTGCGCTATTGTGCAAGCCAATTGACTAATGTTTGTAAATTTAATCTTAAAGCTTATCTCTGGCCAAAACGTGGCTTTTAACTGGCATGTTGGCAATTATTTACCTTTGCCTTCTTTGTGCTCAGTTTAAAGATTTTTCAGCAATGTAAAGCTATGTATTGCTCTCTCAAAGCTTTAGACTCTCTTTGTGCGGCATTTCCTATCCAGGGAAACGAACAGATGCACCATCTCTTTGTACAAGACAGTCACTGGTCTCCTCAGCGCCCCTATAGTTCTCTATGTGCAGGGGGTGATCACACACCCTCCTCCCAGCATGGATCCCCCTCCTCCCAGCATCCTGATGCAACAGGATTACTGAACGCTATTTGATGACATCACAGGCATCGTATATTATTTTTCTGTTGACTGCAGGTCAAAAATTATAAATTAAATATGCATAGCCACTGTAAATGGGGAGAAGGCCAACGGTAAACCAGAAAGCCTAGATCCCGGACGTGAGCTTTAACGTGGAAAACATTGCTGACCCCTGCTGTACAGTGACCTTGTCTCCCCTGTGTCACAGCTTACTCTCTCCTTGAAGCAGAATACTCACAGCTGTTGCACTCTGTTCCTGGAGGTATCACCTGCCAAAAGAAAAATCTACATATCACTCGTGAATACAGGAACTTAAAGAATCATAATCACCCAAAAAAATTGTATTCCCCTAACTGTATGTAGCTAACACGCCTAGCAATAGTATTTTGCATATTAATTTTCTGAGATGTCACATGCCTTTATTTATACTTTTCTCCACATATACATGCAGAACAAGCTTTTCAGCAAAAGAGACAGTGACTTGGTTGGGAGAAACCATAACACTGCCTGGGATGAGGAGTAGCAAGTTTTTTGGGATTTTTTCTTTAAAAAGGAAAAAATATCTAAACCAGGTTATAAAAAAGGTAAATATTAAAAGCAATGCTGGGATAATATGTCCTGTTCCCTGTCCCCTTTGCCTATACAGGACAGCTAGGTCAGCATGTAAAAGGGAAGAGATATGGAAATAAAAAAAAGAATTATTACATGCATTAGCAACATACAATTATTACAATAAAACATCTTTTGTGATAATGCTCCATTAAGGAAAGCCACAATTGTGTCTTTTTTGGCACGAACCCTCGTTTTATTACACCAAGACTTCCCCATCAAGCATAGTCAAATGTGGATTTCGGAAATCGTTTGTTAGCCATACTAACCAACCAGTTTTTGACGAAAAACAGAAATAATTTCCTTTTGCGCATGTGTTGTGTTCTTGCTGAGATTTTAGACGGATGAAAACCCCACTGATTTATCGATTTTTCGTTCAGTCAGGGAAACATTTTCCAACCTGACCGACCAAAAAATTTCGATCACAATATCAAAAACGAATATTGTTCGATTTTCGTTCGAAAGACCATTCGTGTACGATTTCCGAACATACAATCGTACAATGTATGGCCACCTTAAGACAAGATGCTGTACTTGACCTGTAAGTAAACCTAAACATATGGGCATGCAGGTTGGACTATAAACATGTCAATAAATTGTCAGTAACACACTAATTGCTTTGTATTGGTGGTACAACTGAAAGAGCCGAATAATATTATGCCCTTAAGTTGCTCTGAAAAAACACAAACCAAATTCATACTTTTCTCAGTATGTTGGCAATACACCATCAGATCATAATGCGAACATCATTATTTAACTTATATTTAACTATTTCTTCCCTTTTCCCATCCTATCCTATGTCATGCCTTGTGTTAGGGCTTATTCACAACTGTGCGTTTTCCCCGGTGCTTTTACCATTGAAATCCAAGTAAATGCATTGATGCACGGTAGCATAAGATACTTTATTAGTTTAATTAAAAGATGCTAAATACTGAATAGATACATTTTTCGTATCACTAGTCTGCAGTCTATTAATGGAAATCTGACTGATCATTCACTATGATGCTTGCCTCCACCCTCACCCTTCTTTTTATCTATTTACCCTCTATCTCTCAAAGTCATTAAAACCTGTGGTAGCATATTTTCCTATTACAGTCTTCACACTGCAATATTATCTTGTTATTTTAACAATAATTTATATTTGTACAACTTTACACTCCATTAAGACATTACATCTCCTGTTTCTATTTTACTTATGCAGGAAGTTATATACCCTCTTTTCTATAATAAAAAGACAAACAAATAATACTGACCATGGAAGAGGCTGTAGTTGTTACTGCTGGTAGCATCATGGTTGGCATTAATGGCGGCACCAGGTTTGGAAGCTGTGGAGCATAATAAAAGTTAAAGAAGAACTCTTATGATCATTTAAAAATAAAATACTGGTCCATAAATTCATGTTTAGATTCCTTGAATTGTACATTTCAATGAACCACAATCATATTTTATAAGTAATTCTCTAGTTTCTTTATTGACTTCCTGCTTCTCTGCTCCTCTCCTGATAGAGGTCTGATTTCTGATTGCATTACATTTGCTGATTGGTGTCAGTCCCAGTAGATGTGACCGTGACTGTCTGAGCTACTTTTTTTCTTTTACTTCCCCCCTCCCCCTGCATATCTAGTGATGGTGCTTGTTTCTGGTGCCCAAGACAAGCGCTGTCAATCACTGCTAATTTAAATATTTGCTTCCTTGCAAGAGGTGTGGGCAAACAGCAGATGAGGGAGGGGGGACACTGTCTCAGGAACAACACTACCTAGAAAGACAGGACAAAGTGCCACATGCACTTTACCAACTTCCAGCATACCGGGATTCCCTGCCCAGGGGCATGCTTGCATGGACAGCTCCTGGCCTGAACCTGCATGTACCCGGGAGTTAGACAATCGATGTTGGACATGGATATTGTTCTGTGATTGTATACCTCATAATCTCTACAATTCAATTAAAAACAAACTGAAATTGTTAGTGGGGAAAAAATTATTAATGTGGCTGCATAAGTGTACAAGTCCTCTCATAATTAGAGATGTCTATTTTCAGAAATAACCAATCACATTCAAAATAATGTTAAATAGTAGTCAGTATCCACCAGCCATCAATTAAAGTGACATTGATTAAGCCTATACAAAGCTCAGCTGTTCTAGGTGGATTTTTCTGACATTTACTCAGTTGCCTCTTACAGCAAAAGCCATGGTCTGCAAATAGCTTACAAATCATCAAAGGGATCCCATTGTTGGAAGGTATCAGTCAGGAGAAGGGTACAAAAAAATTCCAAGGCATTAGATATACCATGAAAGACAGTGAAGACGGTCAGCAGCAAGTAGAGAAAATATTGTAGAACAGTGACATTATCAGGAACTGGACATTCCTCCAAAAGTTATGAAAAATCAAGAAGAAAACTGGTCCAGGAGGCTGCCAAGAGACCTACAGTAACATTAAAGGAGCTGCAGGATTTACTGGCATATACTAGTTGTGTACTACATATGATAGCAATCCACCATATTCTACGTATGTCTGGGCTGTGGGATAGGGTGCAAGCCTTCCTACTAAGAAAAACAGCCAAGCCCGGCTACATTTTGGAAATACCTGCTTCAAGTATGACAAAAGCATGTGGGAAAATGTGTTATAGTCTGAAACATTTAACCTTTTGGCCATAATTCCAAAAAGTATGTTTGGTGCAAAAACAACACTGCACCAAAAGAACACCATGCCCACAGTGAAGCAACGTGGCGGCGGCGGCATTATGCTTTTGGACTGTTTTTCTTCAGCTGGAACTGGGACTTTAGTCAAAGTGGAGGGACTTGCTCAATTGTGGCACAAAAACTTCAGGCCTCTGCTAAAAAGCTGAAGATGAGGAGGAATTTCACCTTTCAGCATGAATATGACCCAATGCATAATGCCAAATCAACAAATGTATTCTTTTTTTTTTCTTTTACTTCCTTGCCTTTTGTCTGTTTTATATACATTTTTGAAGGTTTGTGTTATTGCTGTTCAGTTATGCAGCAGCTGCTGCTTATATATGTTCTGTTTTTTGTGTTCATTATTTTTTTCTTGTATATTGTAAAACTGTTTGAAATTTACATTAAAAATGATCTGATAAAATAAAAAAAGTACACTAAGAATATTACATTTCTGACACCAGACACATGAGATGACATTTATTGTTTATACCTGAGCAAGAGGTGGTGGTCCTGCCATAGGAGGGATCATTGGCGGCATCATCGCATGTGGAATTGGGGGCATTGTAGGGGGCCTCTGTCCAACTGGTGGCAAACCAATTGGTGGAAATGGAGGTGGAAGCCCAGGGGGAGGCATCTATAAAAATTAAAAAAAAAACAATGAAAAAGAAATAATATCTGGTATATGGTCTACAGATTGAATAAGACCTTTAATAAAACAGAATGCAAAAAGAATTTGTTAAAGGAAAACGTCTGACTTCTGTCCCATTAGGTTGTTCGAAAGATCTCCTAACCATGGTCACTAGAAAATATTTGCAACTACTCTAGCACGCGAATTGTGAACTAATACAACCCTGGTGAGACTTGATCACAGCCATGGAGAGCCCGGCACCCGACAGTACAGCCCTGGAGAGCCGCACATACAGCCCTGGTGACACCCAAATGCAGCCCTGGTGACACCCAAATGCAGCCCTTGTGAGACCCAAACGTCCTGGAGTGCCCCACATGCAGCCCTGGTGAGATCTGCATGCAGCCCTGGTGAGACCCGATGCAGCTCTGGTGAGATCTGCATGCAGCCCTGGTGAGACCTAAACTAAACTCTGAGTGACCCTCGCAGCCCTTCTGGAGCCTGCCATACCCACCCGAGAACAAGTAAGTAAACTTTTATGCTGCAGCTGCCTACTGTTCTTCTCCTATTGGTGTATGTCATAGTGCTAATGAAATGCAATAAAGAATGTCAACTGGTTATAGAGGACTACAAATTTCAGCAATCCATGGTTGCCATTCTCCATTGTGGTGTAATCATGGATTGATGGGATCTGTGGTCCTCTGTTGCTGATTGCCATTCTCCATTGCTAAATAATCATGTTTTGAGTTACAGTTCTGCCCTAAAATCATTAGTCGGTATTGTAAAAATGTCACATGTTCCTTTATGAAAAAGTATCGGTAATGGGTATCAGCAAGTACGTGAGTGAAAGCACTTGTACTTGGTCTTGAAAAAGTGGTATTGTTGCATCCCTAATATTAGTGAATAGAGCCTTATGAGTGAAAGTAATATTTGTAATTAATTGGCAACAGGGGATAAAAAAAACTATTTAAAAAAAAAACTATACAAGAGTTAAAAAAAGCTCATATTCTGTAGAGGAACATACATGAATAACAAGGGTACATCAATTATATCCATGTAGTTTTTACCAACTGACACACTTGTGAGATGAACAGTTCACACGCCTGAAAGAAGACACTTACAAAAGGTGGAGGCATCAGGGGAGGAGCAGTAGGAAAAGATGCAGACTGGCCAGGTGGAGCTGTTCCTGAGTCTGGTGCTGACTGAGGAAAAGAGAAACACAACAGCTAAAGAAACTCATGTCTGATTTTAAATGTTCAGTGCTGTTTATGTGCAGCACTTTATAAATTGAGAACCTAATGGCCTCATTCGATGGGCAGCAGGCTCCACTACCCCTCTGAAAAGCGATCCAACGTGGCGGTAAAGCAATAGCTGCCTGGCATTCAGTAGGTGATATTGCCACCTCCTGAATGTCATTTCTTTTTCTCCTTTTTTTTTACATTTCAATGTGAATTTTCAATTGCAATACTGCACCATCCTAATGACTGCCATGGACATGTTTGCCAAGTGGCACCACTTGCCAAACCGACATGCTGTTTGCCTTCACCACAGCATGCACACAAACCTAAGCGGCCGCTATGGTCACTTTTAGGTGGAAGGTAGTGGGGTAGTAAAAATGCAGAATAAACGCCTGTTTTTACTGCCATCTGAACAAGGCCTAAGTGAGGTTTGGGGGCAGAGAATACTGATGGTGAATCCAAAGTAAAAGAGCTGTGAATGCAAAAGATGGAAAAATACAGACAAAATATACATGAAAGTATATCTAAGCAGTCCACATTTGCTATCCCTTATTTAAATCCTCCAAAACAAGGTACTCCTCCTTTTCCCCACTGCTCCCCCCCCTCCAATCCCCCCACTTCTCTTATAAAGTCCCTACCCTTTTCCCTCTTTCCCCTCCCCGCCTTCTTTTTTCACCCTTTATCCTGCTCCTTCCTACCTCCTCTTTTTCAATCTTCGTAGCGTATCCCTTACTTTTTCTCCCCCTACCTACTTCGATTGGTCTCCTATTGGCTATATATATAATGGTCTCTAGTTCACCTACCTGCATTCTCAAATCACTGTAAGAGTGCCCTCACCAGAAGCTCCGCCTCCCCCACTCAATTTCAGCTCAGTTGTTACCCACCATTAACGGTCTGATCGTTTTTTCTTTCTAATGTTCATAGTACATTATTATCTGTTATCTTTTCTCATGGAAGACAGTTTCCCAGTTGACTTCATTTTGTTCAACTGATGACCCAATCCTCCTTGGTGAATGCTACCAGTCCTGTGTAAATGAAATTTAACAGTACTGATGGATAGAATGTAACAATGTGCCTGCTATATATAAAATGGACGTGATGGTGTAATGTAAAATAAAGATATAAAAAAAATCAAGTATATCTAAAGCCAAGTTTTGTATAACATTTTGATAAGGATTATAGGTTCATTCATCCACGCATCATAACCTATTGGCATAAAACCTAGCTTTTATTGAAGCACTATATAAAAATATTCTTCTAAAAAAACTATACATGTCCAATTCTCCCAAAGTAATTGTGCATCCAGTGTATAACTTTCTAAAGGATGGTGGTTTCCTTTTGGTAGGTTTAAATGCATTCTCTGGAGGAAATGAAATCTTATAAATTTGTTTCATTACTACTATCTCTTTTCTTTCCTTATTTTTACATCTTATTCTTATAATTTGTCTATTTCTCCTCCTACTATACCTTGTTCACTTCCTAATTATCTGTTCTTATCTACCCTCAATTTTCACACAATTTCTGCCTTATTTTCTTTAACTATTCCTCCATTCTATAAATGTTTCCTCTTTTTTTTAATCTTGCTCCTAACTCTGGAGACCACTAACCTTCGGTTGATTTCAAATTTGTGCTCCCAACCCTACACGTTTCGGCATTTCAGTGCTTTTATTCAGCGGCATCCAAAGTTAACATAGTGCATAATGCTCATTCAGCAAAAAAGGCACGTCAGAGCCATAAATTGTCAATCTATATCGATTTGACTATTACTACCACATCCTATGCAGCAAATGATATAAAATGTACACACTACATGTGTTTTTGTTTTCTGGGGAGGTCAATAATGGCAGTACAAGATCTCCGAAACAATACATGCACAGCAATAATCGCATAGTTTCTAACTCTTTCCCTCGTCCTATTTTAAATTGTTAAATCGGCAGTGGCTGGTGTCCTGCTAACAACTGTCTATGTGGAAATTTGTTTCTACATACAATACGGAGCACATCACACAGCATTTCCACCACTTTGGTGCCATGAACTGTACATGGATTCATATACTACTAAGGCCTCATGCACTCGACATCAAAATACATGAGATCCACTTGGAGCTCATTTGTAAAAGCTTCTGGAAGCATGTAATGCTTTTCTATGGCTAAATACACACCTAGAAGTTCAGCATCTTCTAAATGCATTTAATCTAGCTACGTTTGCACAAACAAGAAATATGTGCGTTCAGGACCTTTAATCTGGTTTTATGCAGCTAAACACATGTAAATGTTTGCACATTTGAATGCAGGAGAGATGAATCTGGGAAGTAAAAGTTTGTTTATACCTCCCAGATCACTTTCTCACGTTTTAAATGCAGGAGGCCCGTGTGCATGAGGCCTACTGATAAAAATACTGAGTGCTAGTACTGGAATCTGAACCTGTGAAACAATATCAGACATGCTCTGCAACCAAAGATTAGACTGCACAGGAATATATAGCATCTAAACACTATGTCATCACTCAGCTATGTCAGCTCTATGTCTCCCAGTAAGTCACTGAAAGGGGACCCAACATCCACTCAAGAGAAGGAAGGATTGAATTTCAGTATCTTTATATCGGCTAACATCAGCTCTCTGCAAAGGCTCTAATTATTATCTTACAATATACCATTAACAGATGCCTAATCCATGAAAGTGTACCTAAATCCAGAAAACAAAAGCTTAATATATTTCAGCCTAACAAGCTTCAAATGCGGTGGCTGCATTAGTTTTCTTTTTTCCAGGATTTTTTTTTTCACCTAGCGATCCTTCCAGTAACACACTTCCTGTCCTAGGGTGACAACACTCACTCACTGTGAGCAGCATTGTCACCCTAGGACAGGATATGTGTTAGGTCTACAGAACACCTCCCCCTCATCTAAAAAATATAGGTTGGAAGTATTTTCTAGTTCTTAACACTCATTTAAATGCCACTGCTTGAGATAAATCTGCAGCGTCTCGGCTTATATTCGGGACGGCTTATACTCGAGTATATACGGTAGTATATTGATCAAATGAGAGAAGATCATTGTTAGGATTTACATACACTTTAAACTTTCATTTCAACCTTTCCCACTGATAGAGCTTTAGGTGATAATTATGTTCATATTTTTTTATGGATGGAAAACATAACTTTTTTGATTTGTACATTTATGAGTGCACAATAAACTCATGGCAACCCTAAAATTCTGGTCCGGGTGTACACAATGAATGTATGAGTACAGTGAGATGCAATGCAGCCTTTAGGATCCTTGTCGTGATGTATGACAAGTTGACAAGTGCATGCCTGTCTCCAGTTATTACTATTTATGCTGCTGTCAGTCAAAAAAACTTCCGGGGGGGGCTGTGGTATTTGCTCATACTGAAGGATGTCACTGCAGGCTGTACTTGTTGGAGTGCTGTGCTTCATTTTATTGTAGTCACAGAAAAGCGTGTGCAGATGAGGGTGACAGCACTGTGCCTGTAGGCAGACCCAACATGTTTCACAGTAGATATGATGTTCCTTTCTTAAAAGTTTCATTTTCTTTCATCTGTGAACACAGAGCCGATTCTTATGTTTTTCTTTCAACAATGGATTCCTCATGGGTCTCCTTTCTTTGAGCTAACTGTCACTCCAAAAGCAGTGGGTGATGCAATCAGACGCTGATGTACCTTGACCTTGGAGTTCAGCTTGTATATCTTCAGAAGTTGTCCTTGGCTCTTTCTCTACCATTTGCTCTATCGTTCTGTTCAATCTGGAATGATCCCACTTGTGGCCTTGTTCAAAGAGGTTGGCTGCACCCCCATGGACCTTTTAAATGTCTTAATAATATTTGCAACTGTAGTCACAGGAACATCAAGCGGCTTGGAGATGGTCTGATAGCCTTTACCTTTGACATGCTGGTCTATAATTTTCTTTCTGATCTCCTCAGACAACTTTGTGTTCTCTAGGCCATGTTCAGTGTGGTGCACACAGTGAAACCAAACAGCAGGATGACTCAATTTTCAAACCATATTTGAACCATATTTGAACCATATTGAAATATCTCTATGATCCAATTAGTTATCATCTTTTCTATGGGTACCAAGAAACCTGTCCAGGCCATTTTAGAATATCTTTGTAGAATAAGCAATTTATCTTTATGACATACTAAAGGCCTGCAGATATACATGAGACAATTCCATTTAATTGCATTACTTTTGCGGGAGGAAAGAACATGGTTTCAATGAGCTGTAAGGGTACCAACAAATATGTCCGTGTCATTATATAAAACCGAATATTCTGTACTGCTAAACTAATGTGATAAAAATAACCACCACCCAGCAGCTGTATTATCAAAATAGTACCAGATCAATAATAAAAATGAAATACAGCACTAGAAACATATGAACTAATGTGATAACAGTTATTATGAATAAATTATAAAAATAAATATTATCAATACTGTGTCCAATATAAGCATTTCATAAAAAAACAGTGTCCAGCTATAAACAGATAAATAACATCCATGTATATAAACATGAAATGTTCGTGCAATATAATTAGCAGTGTCCTTCCAGAAACACAGCAATAGGAGCAATTGAAAGATACAAAGGCCTATTTAAAAACTTTGATGGTAATATTCAGGTAGGGATTATATTAATTAGTTTATGGACGGACACTGATTGTATATGAGATACTTATGATAGACACAGAGTATTGATACTATTTATACTATTTATTCATTATAAGTATTATATGATATGATCAGGGTTACTCACAAAAGGGTGAAGGGTTTGGAGAAGGCAGGAGAAGTGAACAATCTAGGATAACATAGCTGAACTGGAAAAATTCTCCAATTCAGCTCACCTTCCAGCTCCGCTATGTTGTCCTATTGTTCACTTCTCCTGCCTTCTCCAAACTCTTCACCCTTAATAATAATAATAATAAAGTGACATTCTAGAGGCACTCCACTAATAATAATAAAGTGACATTCTACAAGCACTCCACTAATAATAATAATAATGTGACATTCTAGAGGCACTCCACTAATAATAATAAAGTGACATTCTACAAGCACTCCACTAATAATAATAATAATGTGACATTCTAGAGGCACTCCACTAATAATAATAAAGTGACATTCTACAAGCACTCCACTAATAATAATAATAATGTGACATTCTAGAGGCACTCCACTAATAATAATAAAGTGACATTCTACAAGCACTCCACTAATAATAATAATAATGTGACATTCTAGAGGCACTCCACTAATAATAATAAAGTGACATTCTACAAGCACTCCACTAATAATAATAATAATGTGACATTCTAGAGGCACTCCACTAATAATAATAAAGTGACATTCTACAAGCACTCCACTAATAATAATAATAATGTGACATTCTAGAGGCACTCCACTAATAATAATAAAGTGACATTCTACAAGCACTCCACTAATAATAATAATAATGTGACATTCTAGAGGCACTCCACTAATAATAATAAAGTGACATTCTACAAGCACTCCACTAATAATAATAATAATGTGACATTCTAGAGGCACTCCACTAATAATAATAAAGTGACATTCTACAAGCACTCCACTAATAATAATAATAATGTGACATTCTAGAGGCACTCCACTAATAATAATAAAGTGACATTCTACAAGCACTCCACTAATAATAATAATAATGTGACATTCTAGAGGCACTCCACTAATAATAATAAAGTGACATTCTACAAGCACTCCACTAATAATAATAATAATGTGACATTCTAGAGGCACTCCACTAATAATAATAAAGTGACATTCTACAAGCACTCCACTAATAATAATAATAATGTGACATTCTAGAGGCACTCCACTAATAATAATAAAGTGACATTCTAGAGGCACTCCACAAATAATAATAATAATAATCCTGCCGTCTTCACCTTCGTAACATCTCCAAAATACGCCCCTTCCTCACCAATGAAACCACAAAATTACTCATCCACTCCCTTGTTATCTCTCGTCTTGTCTATTGTAACTCCCTCCTCATTGGCCTTCCACTACACAGGATATCCCCCCTTCAGCCTATCATGAATGCAGCTGCTAGACTCATTCACCTCACCAACCGCTCAGTGTCTGCAACCCCCCTCTGTCAATCACTACACTGGCTTCCATCTCCCCCCGTCAATCACTACACTGGCTTCCAATCGCCCAGAGGATAACATTCAAAATATTAATATTAACAGTCACTTATAAAGCCATCCACAACTCTGCCCCCGGATATATCTCAGACCTTGTCTCAAAATATCACCCTAACCGTCCACTCCACTCTTCCCTAGACCTCCTGCTTTCCAGCTCCCTAGTCAACTCCTCCCATACTCGCCTCCAGGACTTCTCTAGAGTCTCTCCCATCCTATGGAACTCTTTACCCCAACCTGTCAGTCTACCTCCCACCTTGACTGTCTTAAGGCGTTCCCTAAAGACTCATCTCTTCAGGGAAGCTTATCCCACCTCAACCTAACCATTGAAACATCACATTCTCAAATAATTCATCCCTTCACAGCTTCCTCCTCATGTATCATTTCCCCCTCCTCTTTTATATTGTAAGCCCTCACGGGCAGGGCCCTCCTTACCATCCTGTCTTGAATTGTATTGTAATTGTAATGTCTTCCTTACATTGTAAAGCGCCGCGCAAACTGTTGGCGCTATATAAATACTATGTAATGATAATAAAGTGACATTCTAGAGGCACTCCACTAATACTAATAAAGTGATATTCTAGAGGCACTACACTAATAATAATTATAATAATATCACATTATAGACGCACTGGACGACTAATAATAATAAAGTGACATGTATCGGTATTAGACTGAAGTGACATTAGAGAGGAGTGACAGCCGGTAGCCCCCTGTCCGGCACACTCCCCCGCCACCCATAGATAAGCCTTGTGCTCGGTGACCTGATCGGTTACATAAGGATGATTGGCAGTGACCTCTAGGAGCCCGCACAGCCCGTCACATCCATAGTACCTCACACAGCACGCTGTACTCCGTCCCCCCACTACACAAGGCTACTCTGTATTTCCTGCACCAGTATTATCTTCATACTGTAATTATACAGCACAGCCTCGGTGCCTACATGCAGTCCGTGTCCCACCCTATCACAGCCAACAATAAAGACTCCCGGCACCGTGCACCCCCTTCCCGCAGTCCCACCATTTATAATGAGCACCCCAGTCATTCCGTCACAGCATTCCCCCGCTACCCGGGACCCAGCTAAAAGAAAGCTCCGTTACCATCCCTGCTCCAACCGTGAGCCGCCACAAGCTCCTCCCACTCAACAAGCTGCACGGCCATTGGCAGAAAGGGGGTACTGAGGGCGGGCCCTGCGCTGTAACCTGTGTGATGCCAGCCGGGCATCGCTGACATGTGATAAGGAGAAGTGGCCGATGCTGTGCGATCTGTTATGCCCTGATCTGGATTGGGCACATGGGAAGGTGTGGCGAGGATAATGTGACATTTACATGGGAAGTCAGTGGAAACATTGTATAGGCAGCTTAGGTATGTGTAGATGTACAATGTAATGCTAGGGCAGGCCGGTGCAACATCTGGTCATCAGTGGCACGTTGTTAATGTTATTCTGGATAGTACAGTAAATACACAATGGGCTGTCTGTTTCATCTCCTTACATATAAAACGGGATACACATTTTTACACTCTGATTGTATCCTTCGCACCACATCTCCCCTGTCCCTCTTTGTGGAGCTAATTTAAAAAAACAAACAATATTCCACTATTTGCAAAAAATAATAAATGCCGCCATTTTGCTAAAAAGAAAAAAATTGAATTTATTAATTGTTTTGGAATGCAAACTGCAAAGCATTGCAACCACTATTAGTGGATCGCAAGTGCAATGCACTGGCTCCTGCAGACTCTTCCCCCTGCTCCAGGAGGTACAGACCTTCAGTTATGGGGCTGGAGGAAGTAATCAATAGACTACAAGTGTGGTGACATCACTGCACTTGTCCCTCTGCCACAGTAGATTTGTTCATTTACAGATTCTGTGAATGGATGTGTGAATGAATGATGCAGCTGTGTGGGGGCGCAGCCACACCAAGTTTAAAAATATACAGAAGTCTGCGAGGGGAACCCCGTGATTCAGAGAAATGTGGGGGGAGGGCTGTTAAAAAAGTAAAAATAAAAAAAGTAAACAGTGCCTTGTGTTGCAACAACGCAAAGCACCACCCTTACACAGCATACACCAGTCCGCACTTTTAAAAAAAAAATACAATATTCCATATAGAAATATATTTAAAATACAAAGAGCAAAATACAGGGAAAAGCGCAGAATGACATAATCAGAAAGCACACTCTATATAAAGTGTAGCAAGTAGTATTATCCATTTCAAACGATAGAGAAGCAATTGACAAACTACACTGCCTAGACAAAAAATAAGTCACAACCTGGATTGAGCTAAGCAAATAGGTAAGAGTCTCCCATTGGATAATAGGTCTAGGTTCAGCAATGTTAGGTCCCCCCCAAAAATGAAGTCAGCTGACTACCTGAATATACTGAGAGACCAGGTTTTTCAATCAATCAATGGATTGTTTCTTCCCTGATGGCACGGACATATTCCAACATGACAATGCCAGGATTCATCAGACTCGACTTGTGAAAGAGTGGTTCAGGGAGCATAAGACATCATTGTCACATGGATTGGCCATCACAGAGCCCAGACCATAACCCCATTGAGCATCTTTGAGATGTGCTATAGAAGACTTTACGCAGTGGTTAGACTCTCCCATCATCACTACAAGAGCTTGGTGAAAAATTAATGCAATTCTGGATGACAATAAATGTTGTGACATTACATAAGCTTATTGAAAGGATGCCATGGCGAATTCATACTGTAGTCAAAGCTAAAGGAGGTCCAACAAAATATTAGAGCGTGTGACTTTTTTTTGACCAGGCAGTGTATCTGTGCAGAATGAAAGCTGGTTAACCTAACATGATCAACCAAAATATCACTTGGATAAGTGACCATATAAGAACAAGCAATGAGATATGAGGAAAAGTGACAATTGAAAACCAGATCAATAAAGTGGAAGACCCTGTATCAGAATTAGAGGATCTAAATGACCATTGGTAGTCAAAGTCATGGAAGACATGATCTTCCATGGGGACCAGGTCATATTAAATGAACTAAGTCAGTCTCGTTCTGAGGTACAAATGTTATAAATATCATGAATACGCCTATAGAGGTCGAGATATGATGATAGTGTAGGTTGTCACCATTTCAGCGCTATCAAACATCTAGCCACAGTCAAGACACGGTTAGACAGTTTGATCGCATACCCACTCATATTTGGAACAGTAAAGACCCTGTACAAAATGCACTGGATCTAAGGTAAGCATTGCATCTTACAAGGTATCAAGCAAGGACTTAACCAGAAATTGCTTATTTTGGGGCAGCCCTAATATATACGATATAAACTACCTGTGTCTACACCTCCATCACCATCACATAGACGGCATTACTGGGTTAATGGAGTGTAGAAATTCTTGAGTATGATGCCCGCATCTGATTTGGGCCCAGGTTGGGTTGAATGAGCCTTAACGTCTGATTGTACAGTCACTAAACAGTCTCCAATATGGTGGCCAGATGCGTAGCAAATTGTAATCGATCTAGCTGTGAGAAATCATCAACAAGCAATTTATGAATCAATAAAAATATTGAACAATGCATTTATAGGCACTTCTGATCATCACCAAAGGGTGATGTTTCTCCATACGTGGTGGCATTTGTCTAAGATATGTCCTTTCTGGGTAGAGGTCAGGCGACCAATACAGAACAATTCAGCATGGCTTATACCTGCGGAACCACTTTCCTTGTTATTTCAATGTTTTGAAGCATCTTTTGAGAAATAAAGCAATCCATTTTACCCTACCACTTACACACAGGGAAATGTTTGTTCTCTAGATGATGGGAAATGTGACATCTTTGTCCGTTCCATTCTTCCCTCTTTTGATGGAGGAGAAACTGACTGGGTGGCTAGACCGTAAGGAGATATGCGTCCACCTATATCTGCCCACATTTGGTCTGCAATAGGGGACATGGATCCAAACCTATTGCATTCCACCCAACGAACCTGAATGGACCCAGATGTAAACAGACGCACATCCGCTTATATCCAGTCACCCATAGGAATACATTACAGTTCTTTTTAATCCATCTAGGCACAGGTCCAAACCAGACTGACAGAACGCTTATGTGAAAGGGGCCTTAAAGTGAAACTATAGGCAAAACTTTTTTTTGCGTTTTGTATAGTACAGAGGGATTAGAACATCTGTTACGTTTTTATTACTGTCTGTGTCCCCTGGGAGACATAGTAACGTGGTAGGTGAGGTTGAAAAAAACACAGAGGCCCATCCAGTTCAACCTGTTTTTTGTGTATGTGTTTCTGTTTAGGAAATTTTCCCCAATGGTAGGCAAAAAAAAAAGCATGGGAGATATAATCCTCCCTTATTCTATCCAAAACGGAAAAAAAAAAAGATGGGGTTCAATTCTGTTGTAAGGTTTCAGCCCATTAAAACATACATGATAGATAACAACTATAAAATTAAGCCAGGAACCCACGCTTCAACTGCGGCCACTTTCCGAAAACAAAGGAAACAGCAGGAGAGTCCTTGATCAACGCTCATAAGTGTTGATGGAGGAATCTGTTCTATTTTCTTCATTCAGCAGGTTGAATGAAAAAAATAGAAGAGGTGTATACCCAAATTAAGAATTAACTGGATCTTAATCGTGCTACTTTGAAGGCTTCCGCTTAATAAGGTGAGAAAACAAAGAAACACTTTCCACTTTACGTGAAATTGATTTTCTTCTACCTTGCACTGGGAATAAGAATAATAACAGCCCTATTTTTACCTGGAGTCTCCAGGGATATAAAGCAAGATTACACGTTTAAATATATAATTACGATTATTTTATGGATAGCTTGTGTAATTACCAGTTCAGATTCATCATAAAAAAATTGCAAGTGATCTGAAGATTGCCAATTCAATACATTTACTTGATAACAGACAACCAAAGTGATTTGAGGAAACATTTCTACCTGATGTCCATTTTGAGGTTTCCAGTACCAGTGGGAAATGTTTCCTTCCAAAAGTAGGGGCTGTAACATGAAAGCTTGAAGCATATCTAAAACATATTTATATGTACACAAAAGGGTTGATTTACTAAAGAAGAATGTATTTATTTATTTGCTACAGATATTGATATAGCGCCAACAATTTACGCAGCTTTTTTTCAACTGGATGACATTTAGCTAAAGCATTGTGTATCATAAATAAATAATCGCCATGGTTTCTTTTCCATCAAATACTGGTTTCACCTATTTTAATCCTTTTTTTGCATCTCAGAGCTTCTGATCTCCTCCAGTCTTTTTTTCAGCCACTTCTTGTCTACATGCATATGGCATCAGCTGTACATCAACGATGATCCACTCCTATGCAATGTGTGTCAATGTCAAACAGATTTTTTTAGTCTCCAAAAGGGGCACATGTGACAATGCAAGAACAGAACTGGGAGGCTGTTGTCACCCCAATAAAGGAAGTTGACAAGGACTTTCCTGGCAGGGCTAACAGGAATTTGTTAAGGAAAGCTGCATATTTAAAAAAGATTGATAACTTTTGCATTACTTTCACATGCTTAAGCTTTTATAAGATTTTGGGTTTAGATCTGCTTTCAAAGATTGCACCTATTTTTTTAAATCCTTCTACCCATGAATGCACAGAAATACCGGTACACTTAGCTAAGTGAACAGTTTTTTTTTAGTAATCTGTGCTGATGTATGAATGCTAGTTGTCAAAAAACAGGTACATTGCACAGTGGGCCCTCAATGCTGCAAGTTCTTACCTGTTACTCTATTCCCCACCAGCTCGTTCGTTCACCTTCCCAAAAGTCCCAGGGAAAGTTTCAGGTTGGGTCTAAGCTTACACAGGTCAAAATCTTGACAGTTTTTGGGACTCTGCAGTGGCCCCCTTGACAGCATTCAGAACTCTCCTGTGGCCCCAATTGACAGCTCTCAGGACTCTCCCGTAGCCCCCCAAGATGGTGCTGAAGCCTACTGGTTGTTCACACACCGATTAGTATTGTCACAGGGCTAAGGATTCGCCCATGGCCCCCCTAGCTTCACAACTTTCAGAATTATCTTGTGGTCCCCCCTTGGTAGTGTTGAGGCTTAATGATTGCCTCTACACCGTTTGGTATTGTGGGAGGAAGTAGAGAATCGCAGGTTGGGTCTAAGTTTACACAGGTCTAATGACTCTACTGTGGC